GTCGTGGAGTATGGATTTTTAACAATCAGTTTCTTAAAAAATTGCACATTCCATCAAAAAATCACTGAAATAATAGAGGAGGCAAAAAGGCGCCCTTTGCTTAAAGCTGAGCCACTGATATGGTGGGGTAACTTAAAATGGAAGTAAAGGAATAGTGCGAGACAGAGTCTTGCTGATATGACAAAAGATGACATTTTAGAAGAACCAAGAAGCCAGAAATGTTATTTCTGTCAAGCGCTTTTCTTCGAAGAGAAATAGTGAGGTCACTAAGACCAATACTTACTTGTTTACTTTTGGCCTTCCCAAAAATTCCAGATTCATTTAGAGCAGGTTATTGTAGCATCAAGTGGATATGTACATCCCTAATCTACTGAGATGCTACAAGTATCAGCATTATGGCCATGGATCTAGAACATGTGATGACCAGGCTGCTCGTCACGATGTGGTGGCAACTGTGCAGACAGTACTCAAGGATCCCTCTTGTGTGACCTGTGGCGGTCATGTTTCATCTTCTAAAGTTTGTCCTGCATTCAAATTGTTAAAATAAAACATAAACGGAACATCTCATTTCAAGATCTAAAGAAGATTCGTCTGGATGAAGAACAGTCTGTTCTGTTCTTACTCTGCAGCTGTTTCTCGGCCAAATTTAAAACCTGCTCCACAACGCGTTTCACGGCCTGTTTCATTACTTAGCTGTTGCATGTCAGACAGGTTATACCTGAGGTTATCTCTCTATCTGCTGATTCAACAATTGTTCTAAAAAACCACCATTTCACAAACAACTTCTCAGGACAAATCATCATCTCAGTCAAATCCTAAAACGCAATCCGAAACAAATGTAAAACAAGTCGCAAAAAAACAAACCCGAACCCAGAGCAGATTCATAAAAACATATCAGAGTGGCAGAGCCTTAAAAGGATCAGACAACCAGATCCAATTATTTCACAAGTTGGATCCCTCGAGGATATGGATGTGTCCGACAACAGCCACCAAAGAACACATAGATTTTCGCCCTCTAAGAAAAGCCGGGGTAGATCCCGAATTAAAATTCCGAATGTATTCGTTCAATGGAACTGTAGAGGTCAAACGATTTACAACTTATAATTCAAGATTTCAAACCATCAACATTATGATTGCAAGAAACATACCTAAAATCCACAGATAAATTCAATGTAAGACATTATGATTCCTACCATTGCTCCTCTCCTTCAGGTGAGAAAGCTACTGGAGGATCCTCAATTATTGTGAGTCAGGGCACCATTGGAATGGCATTCTGAACTTCTGGCACTTTATGACCACCTCCCTAATCGTTGCATTATCATGGGAGATTTCAATGGCCATAATCCACTTTGGGGAAGTGATCACACCAATAGAAAAGGAAAGATACTCGAGGATTTCTTCTCAAATAATGATTTATCTATTTTTTTATTATGGCTCTCACACATATCGACATCCTGCAACTTCTTCATACTCTTTTCTGGATTTATCTGTTGTAGAAGCCAATCTGTTTAATGAATGCGAATGGTCATGCCAACTGATGCCTCATAATCACCAAGATGATATATACAAAGGCCAATTTATCTTTGTTTCACACATTATGTACTGCAAGAATAAAGCCCGAGTTATTTCTATGTTACTGATCCTATTCAGTTGATTTTCTGATGAATCACATGTAATTGCTGATGAATGTATCCCAAGGTCCTCTTCCGTTCCACATATTCGTAAAACATGTTTTAACATTGACTGTAAACAAACTAGGAAAAAAGGCAATATTCATTATCTCACACTTAAGAAAAATAAAAGACAGTCATGGCAAAACTATGGTCCTAAAATTAAATCACGAACAACTATTTCCAAGGGTTAAAATCAAAGGAAAGGGGTCCAAATCTGGTGTTCACCATTTTAAGGATGGTGACACTCTTCTAACAGATAAATCCGATATTGCTAATAAATTAGGTGAAACATAAGATACTCATTTCTCATCAACCTATTATGTACCAAAATTAATTTCAGAAATTAAAAGAACAGCAGTTAAAAAGAAAATAAATTTTAATTCCGATAATGGTGAGGATTATAATGAAATCTTTTCTATTCATGGGCTTCATACTGTCCTTGGGCAAGCTCATGATACTGCTTCGGGGCCTGTTTATACTGACACACAACAGAACAGCAACATACAAATAATAATGGTTTATTTATTTTGGGCTGGGGGATTCTGTCTGGGGGATTCCCATTACTTATGTAATACAGCAAACCACTCGACCCCATCCTGAGGGGAAATGCCCTGCAGTGTCAAGCGCTGAGATGACCAGGCCTAGTGGTGAAAATACTAACATTTTGGGGCCATGAATATCCACAACTACCGGCGGATACTCTTGGGGGATTCCCATTACTCATGTAATACAGCAAACCACTCGACCCCATCCTGAGGGGAAATGCCCTGCAGTGTCAAGCGCTGAGATGACCAGGCCTAGTGGTGAAAATACTAACATTTTGGGGCCATGAATATCCGCAACTACCGGCGGATACTCTGGCTGGGGGATTCCCATTACTTATGTAATACAGCAAACCACTCGACCCGATCCTGAGGGGAAACGCCCTGCAGTGTCAAGCGCTGAGATGACCAGGCCTAGTGGTGAAAATACTAACATTTTGGGGCCATGAATATCCGCAACTACCGGCGGATACTCTGGCTGGGGGATTCCCATTACTTATGTAATACAGCAAACCACTCGACCCGATCCTGAGGGGAAACGCCCTGCAGTGTCAAGCGCTGAGATGACCAGGCCTAGTGGTGAAAATACTAACATTTTGGGGCCATGAATATCCGCAACTACCGGCGGATACTCTGCCACAGATTATAGCTGGGAAGGGAAACGCCTTCAACAATAGATTACAATGACATAGCTGCAAAGGGAAACGCCTTCAACAGTGGATTACAGATTACATAGCTGCGAAGGGAAACGCCTTCAACAGTGGATTACAGATGTAGCTGAGAAGGGAAACGCCTTCAACAGTGGAATACAGATTACATAGCTGCGAAGGGAAACGCCTTCAACAGTAGATTACAGATGTAGCTGTGAAGGGAAACGCCTGCCACAGTGGATTACAGATAAGGCTGTGAAGGGAAACCCCTTCAACAGTGGATTACGGATAACATAACTGCGAAGGGAAAACGCCTTCAACGGTGGATTGCAGATAAAGCTGTGAAGGGAAACGCCTTCAACGGTAGATTACAGATAAAGCTGTGAAGGGAAACGCCTGCCACAGTGGATTACAGATAAGGCTGTGAAGGGAAACGCCTTCAAGTGTGGATTACAGATAAAGCTGTGAAGGGAAACGCCTTCAACAGTGGATTAACGATAACATAGCTGCGAAGGGAAACGCCTTCTACAGTGGATTACAGATTATAGCTGTGAAGGGAAACGCCTACAACAGTAGATTACAGATAAAGCTGTGAAGGAAAACGCCTTCAACAGTGGATTAACGATAACATAGCTGCGAAGGGAAACGCCTTCGACAGTGGATTACAGATTATAGCTGTGAAGGGAAACGCCTACAACAGTGGATTAACGATAACATAGCTGCGAAGGGAAACGCCTTCGACAGTGGATTACAGATTATAGCTGTGAAGGGAAACGCCTACAACAGTAGATTACAGATAAAGCTGTGAAGGAAAACGCCTTCAACAGTGGATTAACGATAACATAGCTGCGAAGGGAAACGCCTTCGACAGTGGATTACAGATTATAGCTGTGAAGGAAAACGCCTTCAACAGTGGATTAACGATAACATAGCTGCGAAGGGAAACGCCTTGACAGTGGATTACAGATTATAGCTGTGAAGGGAAACGCCTACAACAGTAGATTACAGATTATAGCTGCAAAGGGAAACGCCTTCAATAGTGGATTACAGATAAAACTGTGGAGGGAAACGCCTCGACAGTAGATTACATATTACAGCTGCGAAGGGAAAATGCATTACATAGTGATTTTGAAAATACATAACTATGGAGGGAAACTCCTTAACAGTGTATTATAGTACCCCCAGCGCAGGGCAAAAGAGGTTAGCATGACAAATATTAAATAATAAGAAGAAGTTACATGGAATGAATGTTAGTGGATATAAGCACATGGACAGAGTATTTAAGTAATTGATGAGATATATTATTAACTCTGATAATATATTAACACAAGAATGGGAATCCCCAGTATAAAGCCTTATACATGCATGTTTATTAGTTGTTATACTAAGTAGACAAGATCTGATTACCACATAACTGGTGCAGCAGGGGATGGAGGTGGGTGTCAACAGAACAATGGCGATTGTGCACGAAAACCACTAAGGAACCTGCGCATCACAATGCGCAGATGAGGTGTGCAGTGCGAGTTACTGCCCTTGCATTCTAAATATAACTACTATAGTCCAATTACGTGACTCTGTAACTGTAAGAAACATGCTTAACAATAAATAAAGACTAGATGCAGTGTATAAAAGACACATGCCATCCTAAGGTACGTACTCATACATGTCATAGCAAATGTTGTGTGTCACCATAAACTCAACTCAAATTCCTGAGTACTAATTTATACTGACACACAACAGAACAGCAACATACAAATAATAATGATTTATTTATTTTGGGCTGGGGGATTCCCATTACTTATGTAATACAGCAAACCACTCGACCCCATCCTGAGGGGAAACGTCCTGCAGTGTCAAGCGCTGAGATGACCAGGCCTAGTGGTGAAAATACTAACATTTTGGGGCCATGAATATCCGCAACTACCGGCGGATACTCTGCCAAATGAACATGAAAGAATTAAGAAATATGCATATGATTAATTTTTAAATGAGAATAAAAAAAAACTAACTACACAGAAGTAAACTGGTCATAGTCGTACAAGGACGTAACAAATGTATGCCCTATAACCAAGGTGGTAACTATCTTCTAACCTGTATCAAGAGAACAAACAACAAACATAAGAATATGTAGTGAACTAACATGTGTATTGAAATCAAGAAATATGCTAAATAATCATGATAATACATTACACTTGAAGAAAAGGTTTACAGATAAATTCTAACATGAATATATACACTGGGCGATGTGGAGAAGGGTATTATAGCCAATGTTAACAAAGATAAGCCATATCTTTTTGAGCACGCCACAAAACATCTTGAGGTGTACGTATATATCTGGTGTAACAAGAAGATGACCACCGACCAAGGACTTGTATGAGGTGATCTGGTACTTTAGCACTGGCTGCTGATGTAGCGGCTCCTATTCGAAAGGAATGACCCTGATAGGCATTGTCATCATAACCACACAGTCTTAATAGTTTCTTAAGTTGCACGATGAAATATGTCCTGAATAATACCTTGCCATCTACCGTAACAAATAAAGGATCCGCTTTATGCACGGCATAGCGATGGCGTTGAACGAGGTAGGCTTGCATACTAGCTACAGGGCATACACAATTGCCCGTGGCTGTATAGGTGATGGTGACTCCTTTCCGGAATGGATCTGTCTTTGACGCTGCCAACAGCAAGGTGAATGAAGCCGAGATCCTGGAGAATTGCACAGCTCTAAGGGTAAGATTGTAAACTGGATTAAGTTGTCAGTGTCACAAACAAATTCTCCGCAACGGAGAAAGCCGAAGAACGCCAGACAACACACTGCTTTCAATAGTCCACAGGTGTAGGGATCAAAAACACCATGATTTAGAGCCATAACCATCTTAGTTAAGATAGAAGTTGTTATTGGCAAGCGGGGTGATGTGGACAGCCCTTGATTTTTTTTAACCCCCTGCACAATAGTTTGCAACCGAATTAAAGAACCGGATGTCCAAGGGTAAGGTAAACCCACTTGTAAATACCTAAACCGAATGCCACACAGGTATGATTTAATGGCAGAATATCGCAGCAACAATCTACGGTAACAGTGTGCCACAAATCTAATGAGAATGTCTTCCGAGATAGGAGGTAAAGTAGTAGTCCACACGAACCCCTGCATAGTCATGAAGGTGAGAAATGCGTTAACTCCTGATTGGTAGACCTGATATGTTCTGGTAGACACAGCTGATGACCACAAAAGCTCGATGTCTGCCTCGATAGTTCCTCCATGGGTTACGGGTACATCATGTCTGTCAGCTGAGGACACGGGGTTGGGTGACACTCTGCATCTGGTGCTAGGTGACGAAATCTGGCTATCTGCAATCGTGAGAGAGCATCACTTATAGCATTATCCACACCAGGAACATGTTTAGCACAAAACACATAATTCCATTGAATAGCATGTAAGGTTAATTGTCTCATAAAACGCATGATAAGAGGGATAGGGGATCTGCCTTTGTTGATGATAGCAACAGTGGCCTGGTTGTCACAGTGGAAACACACACACTTATTAGACCACAAGGGTCCCCATAAATGGGCAGCTGTCACAATGGGAAATAACTCCAAGAGTGCTATTGACAAGTTTTCTCCTGCCAAACTAAACAGTTCTGTGGACCAGGTGGATGAAAACCATCTGCCTTGGAAGAAACCCCCATATCCAAGAGATGCTGCGGCGTCTGTGTACAACTGAAAATCAGGTGAGTTGATAGTGTCTGTAATAAACATGGAGACACCATTCCAATTTTGAAGAAAGTAGCGCCACATTTGGAAATCCAGCAGGCAGTCAGCTGAGAGATGCACACTGTCCCGTAGGTTGGAAACCGAGTGAGCTACCCCTAATAGGTATCCAATAAAACTTCTACCTGGTCTAATGATGCGCATGGCAAAGTTCATGTGTCCCAGAATCACTAAGAGATCCCTCTTAGTCACATGGATTTTCTTGATTATATGGTCGATCAAGGTGACAATTCTCTGCACTTTCTCCGTAGGCAGGCGGGCCTCCATCCGAGAAGAATCCAGGGTGATGCCAAGATATTCTAGGCATTCCGAAGGACCAGCCGTCTAAGCTTTAGATAAGGGAATGTCCAAGTCATGAAACATAGTGAGCATATTGTTCATAATAGTCTGTCCAAGAGAATAGTCTTTGGCGAAACATATGAAGTCATCCAACAGATGAAGAATGAGTGGTATCTGGTAACAGTTTTGGGCTATCCAGCATATGGCTATGGACAACTGATCAAATATTTTTGGACTGGACCTACATCCAAACACTAGTCTAGTGAAGTAATAAAACTGTTGGCGCCATTTAATACCGTGAAGATGCCACAGGTCAGGGTGGATGGATATAAGTTTAAAAGCATCTGTGATGTCAGTTTTACACATAACAGATCCTGGCCCAAGTTCTTTGATGACATTGATGGCATCATCCACTGTCACATTTGACAAGGAATACTTGTCCTTGTCGATCAAGGAATTGAGGCTGGGATTCACACAATCGTCGTGAGGAGCCGACATATCCACAATCAGTCTCTGCTTTCTGGAATACTTTCCTTCGACCAGTCCAATGGGGTTGATGCGGTGAATTGGGAAGGGTGATATATAAAACGGACCAATGAGATAGCCCCTGTCTCGTTCCTGTTGCAGAAGAGTGTCGACAGCTGCCGACTTCTTGCGTCCTCTGGTGGATAACAAATTCTTGCACTCATATGTCCTAGTAGGGGGGTGATCTATGCCTGTAAAATACCCATCTGATATCCCCGAAACCAGTTCTTCCCCGAAACCAGTTCTTGCACGAAATGTTTATCAGGATGTTTTCCCAGTTGTTGCTGTAAAATGTCTACCTTAATTGGAGATATGACTGCATTAAGGGGTAGTCACTTGGAACGTGTTGATTTGTCTGATGTCTTGGAACACTTCTTGATTGCATGATTCTTCTGACATCCAGCACAGACATGAGCAAATCTACAGTTTGGACGTACACACGATTCGTAGTTGAAATTATTGCACACTTCATGAAACACGATTTGACGACCTTGAGCATCTTGGTTTCGAGGTCGGGCTTGGCTACGATTGAACATATGTGGGAGATTCTTATCTCGTCTGTTGGCACTAGCCTGGTGGATGGCTAAAGGGCAGAATTCTGTGGGGTGGGTGATTCCATGACAGTGTTGACACCTATTGTTCTTGTCAGAATTGAAAACTCTTAGGTATAACTCTTGATCCAACTTGCTCCAATCTACTTTGACATTGGACTGCACAAGAGCTGAAGCGGCTTTGGCTGAAAACATCTTATGGTAGGTGTAGAAATCACTTTCGTCACCTTCGTTGCTAAGGCTCAAAATAAGATCAAGATATCTGTCCAATTCTACACTTCTCTGAGGCCATCGGGTCAACATAATTCTCTTGTAGCGATTGAAAGCAGTGATGAAGTGTTTGAGACTGAGGGTTTTCTGTAGTCTGGGATCTCCGGCTGGGTTTAGTCGTAATTCACCATTCCCCAGTTCAATGGTACGAGGGTTAGTGGGTATATCATCTGGAACTAGTAGCAGTGCTAGGTTGACATCTCTACCTTCCACTATGTGCTGACGTAAACTGGCAGACACTGTATCTACACGGGGAAGGGAATAAGGGTCTAAGCCAAAATTACCTGTAACATGATGGGTAGTGCTTGAGGCTGTGTTGTCATAAACAGTATCGAGGGTGAAGGGACGTGAGGTGGAGAAGCCTGGTGGCCCTTGACCCTGTTGAAGTCAGTCATGTAAGGCAGTCTGCAGAGAAAACTGACTGTCTATGATATTTGGAGGCACAGTGAGATTGGCATGGTTATTGGTGGTTGAATTGACCTTCTCTGCTAGTGCAGCCACTGTTGCCACCAGTTGGTTGACTGTCATGGATAAACCTTGAAGGTCAGACACACACTAGTTGGGCCCATTGAGGTCATCTGAGGTAATGGTGGCACTGGAGGAGACAGTCCTACTAGGCAATTGAGTCTTGTGAACCTCAGTGGCATCCGATGATTCAGGCTCTCCTGACTGTCCACGTGCCGACTCTGATGGGCGGTTGCGTAAATACAACGCCAGAAGTTGAGCCTTGGGGAGACTCGGGGGAAGATGTTGAATACCGATGTCCCTGGCAATTCGTGCCCTCAGCTGGGACACATACCAGTTCCTTGGATCTCCGTCGTAAATCCCCGGATTTTCGTGGCGATACCTCGCACGGAAAGTCTCTGCGTCTACAGATTGTGCGCTGTCGATAGATGTTTGCTCGTGGTCAGAAGTAGCAGGGCCGCCATGTTGGATCGCAATGTCGTCCGTAGTGTGCGCCGATGACCTATTTCTGCCTCGATGTCTCTTTGGACGGCGAGTAGCCATGGCGTGACGATCATTCGATGAAAATGATCTTTGACGAGAAAAGATCGTTCCAGCCGACTTACAGCAAACGAAACTGACGTAGTGAGTGTGTCAAGTCGATTAACGTAGCTTACGATGTCAACAGAACAATGGCGATTGTGAACGAAAACCACTAAGGAACCTGTGCATCGCAATGCGCAGATGAGGTGTGCAGTGCGAGTTACTGCCCTTGCATTCTAAATATAACTACTATAGTCCAATAACGTGACTCTGTAACTGTTAGAAACATACTTAACAATAAATAAAGACTAGATGCAGTGTATAAATGACACATGCCATCCTAAGGTACGTACTCATACATGTCATAGCAAATGTTGTGTGTCACCATAAACTTAACTCAAATTCCTGAGTACTAAATAATATTCATTCTTCCATGAATTTCGAAATTACTCGATTCTGATTGGTCAATCAGATGCACGTTCGGTTCCAAATTCAATTTAGTGCGGTTAAATCTACAGGTTACCTTGCTCTGCATTGAAAACAGAGTATGTATATCTCTTAATTATCATATCCTTATACATTTACCTGAATCATGTTTGGAAACAATGTTAAATATCTTCGACAATATTTTGACTTCTGGTAATTTCCCACCATCATGGCGAACTGCTATTGTCGTTTCTATGCCTAAACCTGGTCGAGATCACTCCGATCCTTCTAATTACATACCAATATCCCTTACCAGCTGTGTTTGTTAGACTAATCGGGGGCATGGGTGGCCCAGTCGTCTAAGGCGCCGCGATTTGCAGAGTTGCGTCCCTTGGGCACGCCAGAAACCTATGATTGTGTGTTCGAATCCCGGTTCGCCCCAATTATGTTTCTAGGTTTGTCAGCACCATACCCGTGCTCGTGGGTTTCACCGAAGTGGTAAACGTCTGAGACCTGCATCACTTCGGGCTTTCCTCCCACATTAAGCTGACACGCCGTGATATAACTGGAATACTGTTAAAAGCGGGGTTAAACCCAACTCCCTCACTCACTCACTGTTAGACTAATGCATGTATGGTAAATAATCTTCTAGTTTGGTATTTGGAAACAAAAAGATCTCATTACTAACATGTCAATGTTCAATGTGGTTCCCGGAAAAATCGAAGTATCATCGATTATTTAGTACGTTTAGAATCTTTTATTAAAACTTCTATTATAAATAAACAACATGCTGTATCTATCTTTTCAGATCTCGAAAAGGCATATGCTACAACATGAAAGTACGGCATTTTAAAAGATCTTCGAGATTTGGGTTCAAGGGCTCGTTTGCCCCAATTTATGTGTCAGTTTTTAAAAGGCAGACAATCTCAAGTTCGTATGAGTTCAACCCTGTCTGACCATTTCAATCAGGATCAGGGTGTCCCACAAGGCAGTATCTTGCCTGTCACATTGTTTATTATCAAGATCAAATGTTTATCACAAGGTTTTAAATGATTCAATTGATGGATCACTTTATATGGATGATTTTATTATTTCTTGTCGTGGTAAAACATGCATATTATTAAAGGCAACTGCAATTATTTTTTTAAAATTCATAAATGGTCTCTTGAAAATGGTTTTAAGTTTTCAACAGCCAAGGCCAACTGCATTAAGTTTTGTAGAAAATATAAGCCGCACGAGGACCCCGATTTAGTTTTGGATGGTGCTCATATCGAAGTTGTAAAAGAGGCCAAGTAAGAACAAAGAAGGTATTATTTTTTACCATTACTTGACCTTTATACCGCACATAATATTTTTAAAGACTTAATTCCTGAAGGCGTTAGTCGCCTCTTACGACAAGCATAGTCGCCTTTTACGGCAAGCATGGGTTGCTGAAGACCTATTCTACCCCGGATCTTCACGGGTCGGGGAGGGGATCGGGAAACCCTCCCCAACTGTACGGAACGCTCATCCGCTCTAAACTTGATTACGGCTCCATCATCTATGGTGGAGCTTGTAAAAGCAACTTTAACAAAACTAGATTCAATTTGTAATCAAGGCCTGGGGTTTTGCATTGGAGCCTTTAGAACTTCTCCGATGCATAGTCTGCATATGAACCGTCACTAAAACAACGTCGCATTAAATTATCTTTACAGTACATTTCTAAATTGCATTCTAATAACTCCAATCCAGCATTCGATTGTGTTTTTAAACCTTTCTATAAAGAACTCTACAATAAAAACTCACCTCTTACTCCACCCCTTGGAATAAGAATATAATCTCATATTTCTGCAACTAAAATACAGCTTGAACAAATAGCACCCACCCAACATGTATTTAAACGTAAAGATGGCGCTGATGAATACCTGAGAGTGTTACACGCTGTAGATACACCCTGGGTCCCCTTCGTTCAGAAACCGACCGCTACGACAATCTGCCTGTTGATCAGGACACTGTGGAATAACAGTGTCGTGGAGGACGAAGTGCATGTTTGGATGTGTTGTCCAATTGACCACGTTTTACATTTTTAATTCTTTCCAGTATGCATTTTACCAAATTACATCTTTTCAAAAATAATTATCCACTTTTAGAACAATTACTGTTTAATGTTCAGTAAAAATCTTCAAATCCTTTTTGCCAAAACATTTTTTTAAATTTATTTCACAGCACCATAGACACATGTTATATGTATTCACATATGAACTGCCGAGCAAAAGAAAGTATACACTTGAAAATTGGATTTAACGAAAAACAAATATCACTAGGCTGAAACCAGTCGCCGAAACACGGCAAACCTTTGGTCCAAAAACACAACCTATCAAATACATCGACAAAATGTATTATTTGTTTCATTTTAGCAACCATCAAGCATAGGTGTATACTTTCTTTTACTTGGCAGTTCAGTTGTATTTAGTTTTGCACATAATAGTATCTCGTAATTTCATAAGGAATGGTTTATGTACTACAAAATAATTCCATTTTTGTATATTGTAGACTCAAGTGTGGATATATATAATGTATATCTGTCTACCTGTATCATTCAGTTCAGTTTTGTCGGCATGGATTCGGGATAATTGCTCTCATTGGGAAACAACGAGCATCAGAATAGATACAATTAATTTATCTGAAAGACAAGAAGTCTGACATTCGCAAAGTTTAATGAGTGTTAGGGCAAATTAAACAGGCAGGTAAAGAGGTAGATGGAGGAACATGCTAGTCCATCAATCACCACTATATCTAGGAGTTTTAGTTGGAGCCCTTCCTCTTTGTTTCCAGGACATTAGTGTTACCAGGTAAAACTGGAGTAAACAGAGGAGTCAATTAGTGTTTCAATCAGCAGATCCAAGCTCGTAGGATTGCAGTTGTGCCCAAGTTTAGAACCTCTTCAATGCAGAATTACCTCGATGAATTATACGATTTGTATGTACAAAAGACGCAGGTAGTAATTGCCAGCTGGTGACACGCTACATGTGGCTATGGAATGAGCAATTAACAAAGGCAGTGGGTGCATGTTTGCCTGGATTGATGGGTTGTGTTCACGTAAGTTATGCTTCTCTGGGAAATGGGTGCAACCACTGAACGACACGACCCGCAAGTGACGTCGCAATCTGTTGTCGGAGTCAGGACGTTCTTCCAACTTCTCTACAACAGACAGCCTCCGTGGTCTGGTGGATAGAGCGTCTGCCCGGAGAGCGGAATATCGCTGGTTCGATCCCCTCTCGCGTCATACCCAAAGACGTAAAAGATGGTACTTGTTATTACCCTACCTGGCGCTCGGCTTTACGGGGATAAAACAAGGACTGTTCGACTATGTATACTGTGTCCAAGTGGGGTATGTTAAACTGCGGCATGGTATCTCAGGGGACTAGCATTATAAAACCGGTATTTTAGTCCTCGTCACTTGAAATAACTGACGGCAAAGTGACATTTTACCACTTTAAAAATGAAATTACCAAAATTTAATCACACAAGTTCAAACTAATTCAATTCGTAAAAACACAACGACGCTCTATGCAGAAAGTGATGCACGTCCACGGCACGTTTTTGTGTGTAGAAAATGCTAAAAAGTGAATAACACGTGCCGATTGGGCAGTCGAAACTACACAGGCAAAAATAGTATATAAATGATACCCACAGTAAAAGATAATCCACAGAAATGCCACAACTGACACCCGAACAACGCGAGTGGGCCCTTGGTATGATACCGATGGGAGCCACCCATGCCCACATTGCTAGAACTTTTGGTTCCTCTCCCGTGTTGCTGTAACTAGGGCTTACAGACCTTACAGAGGACAGTTATTGACATCGCAACATCGTCGTCAGATTGAGATGGGCCCGGACCGTACGTCTTTGGCAGCGACGTGACTGGCAGAAGGTCGTCTACACTGATGAAAGCCGGTTCTGTCTGTTCAGAGCTGATGGAAGACAGCATGTTT